CAGAAAATAGTCGGAGTGTCACACGATGGCAACTCTGGGCATTCGCCATGAACTTCTTCGCCGTGACCACCATTGTCTATGCCCTCGCTTTCTTCATGCCCATTATCCTGCAAGGCTCGCTGGGTTACAGTGTCAAGAAGACATTTCTCATGTCTGCGCCGCCGGCATGTGCCGCGGTTCCCTGGGTCATGTTTTGCTCGTGGGCAGCCGACAAGTGGCGCACACGCTCCTTATTCATCATCCTGAACGCGTTGGTTGGCATCATCGGCCTTATGATCGTGGCATACGCGACGAATGGCGAGGCCCGCTACTTTGGCATATTCATGGGGCTTGCAGGCGCGAATGCCAATATTCCGCCAGCGTTGGCGTGGCAAGCAAACAACATTCGTGGGCAAAGCTTGCGAATGTAAGTACAATTCCCTTGCACTGACCTTGCAATACTGACTTCTTCAGGGTGGCATCTGGTCTTCAGGTCGGATTCGGCGCGGTTGGTGGCATCTATGCGTCGACCGTCTTCATGGAGAAGGATGCTCCGGCGTACAGGACTGGGTTGTGGGCCGTCACAGGCGCTCAGCTGTATCTCATCTTGTCCACATGTTTGATGCTGCTGCACTACTGCCGGCAGAACAAAAAGGCAAATCGTGGCGAAATCATTCTCGAGGGATTGGACAGCTTCAGATATACATACTAGAAGCATGTGCGCCAGGGGCCGTAGCCTGCATGATAGGTATCGGAGAAGATGTTGCACAAAAGACAACAATGTATTGACCAAACGAAGAGGATATCTAGACGCAGAAAACAATTGTTCAACACGCCGTGGTTATAACAGAACATTGTTTTAGTTCCCGAAGCCAACGCCAGACGCGCAGACTAGAACTACAGCCAAGAAAAGAGGCAGAGACGAGATCAACTATCTTTGAAGATGAGGATGCTGCTGCGGATTGTACGGTGTATACGCTGGTGCGGAAGCATACTGCATCTTTGCATAATCCTGTGGATTGTACGCGTACTTTTGGATCGGCGGCGGCTGATCACTTTCGCGTCTCCTGCGGTGATCATGCTCCTCTCCCGTCTCCTCCATGGTCGGTAGTTCGGATGTGTATGACTTCTGCTCAAGGCCAGGTGATCGCATACCTTCTGAAGGCGCGTACGAACTTGGTCGCGAACTTGCTGAACTGTGTGATGCTTGTGACCATCGAGCATCTTGCGGCTGTGGTGAATTTTGCGTTGAATCTGTCGCTGTTGACATGCGGTGGTCGTTGGGATGAAGGAATCCCGGAGAAGCTTGTGGGTGGTAGAAGTCACCTGGTAACTCCATGACCACGTTGTTTTGTCCGATAAGCTGCTTCGGAGGCACCTGTGGCGGCCCTGGCTGAGTGTTGCTTGCGAACGATGGCGACCTAGTTGGCGACATGGGCATTTGGTACTGCTGGCTGGGAGATAGCCGTGGTGACAATGGTCCATATTGCGATCGATCCGCCGGGTTGATGGTCGTCAATTTTCCATTCTCCATCATGCCTTGCAATGCGCCCGAGTCGAGCAATTCCGCCTTCTTGACCAGTCGCTCCACCATGACCTTTGCAGCTGCCTTCATTTCTTTCTTCACGAAGCTGATCATGGTGACATTGCACTTGATTTCCACCTCTTCACGAATGTACAGACCCTCTGGTGGCGCTCCTGATCCCAACTCTTTTGGCTCCGGGGGTTCACCAGGCTGGTTACCTCTGATTTCCCATTTGTTGCGAAGATCAACATTGGCCGGCGCATATGTATGTGTCTGCAGGCCAAATGGTAGGTCATGGAAGACGCCGCGAAACTTGATTGCCCCGCTGCCCATTTTCCCAATACCTGGAATATATTGAATGCGCTGCGATATCTCGTACCAGGTCGAATAGAACTCGTCTGCTGGCGCATCGCGCGGCGCTTTGATGGGCGTATGGCCCGTTACAAGAGGATTCAGCTCGATGATCTCGCCATGGCTGTGTAGAAAGTCGATTGCGAGCTGGCGCGGAATGAAGGATGGAATGGGCGTAATGTTCACGTATGAAGTCCGTTTGCGCATCATCTTGGGGATAGAAATGCGACGCTCGCCGGCCCGATTGTGTGGTCAGAGATCGAGTCTGGAGATGTGATCAAGTGAGGCGATGCGCTTGGGAGGGGAAAGTCCCAAGCGGCTATCAGGTGGCAGTAATAAGCAGGGCAGACGGACCCTGGCCTGGCCGTGTGTAGATTTCCTTGGAAGAGCTAGTGAGCTTACAGCCCGAGATCGCCGTGACGAAACGCGTCATGCACGTGGCGGACGTGAATGAGAGAATGAGGTCAGACTGCAATATGGCACAGTAATACTGACGATAATTGGAAGCTTGTGAGCCTATTGAGTGACTTGAGTGTTGATGAGCGACTTCTGTGCAATACCGGTACCATTAATAGCCAGCCGCGCCGCGCAAACTTCATCAACGCCCATAGTATCGCATTGCGTCCTTCGGTTGGGGTAGGTAGACGCCACACAGTCCACTAGTGTTGTCAGGCCGGCAGCTGTCAGCGCGAGCGTCGACAGTGTGGGGCAGCTGAAGATCTCAAGGATCCTGCAGCTAGAGTACCTACCTAGCCCTACGGTACCACGACTAGACTGATCTTCTTGACATGGCATTCCCACAGGCCGCACCAGGCACCGGAGCCAATCCCACCCAGTGTGCTTGTGTCCGCCTCTTCGGTCCTAACCTGGTGGTGGTGGTGACGCCATACCGGGAAGAAGCTGTTCCGGCTGGTAACCAAGAAGTTTGTGCCCATCGCACAAGGGTTCAGGAAACTATACTGTTGAGCCTGCGGCGTCAGGGGCTGAGTCTCAAACGTATAACCCTCTCATATTTGTCAACCTCTGCTTCGACTGTTGTAAGTAGAGTGATGCATTGAATCCCGAGTCACTGGCCATGTGAAGTTCTTTGGAGCCTCTTCTTGTCCGTTTCATCCTTTTTTCTCGAGGCTGGGATAGTTGCCTTTGTAGCCAACTTTGCGTGGTGCGCAAGTCAGTCGGTGTCTTGATGAAGGACTTTGAAAGATGGCGCTAGCGGCGTCGCGTGAATATCGAATATACAGCTACGAGAGATTGTGACAATGAGAAAGAGATGGAATAGAGGCCCCGGATGAAGTTGCTGGAGAGTGGACGTGGGATGGCGAAAAGGGCAGGAACGAACCTCCATGTGCGAGGTGACATGCCCGGCGTCTGGCCAACATCGCCACTGATCTTGTCGCTTGCAACTTCTCACTGCTCCTCAAAGCAGTCGTGGCAAGTATCGATGGACGGAGCGAATATCCAATGTGCGTTGTTGTTGTTGTAAGTGTGTGAGGCGAGTCGATCTAGCATGCAAGCGAGACTGTGGGAAAGAAAGAGAAGACAAAACCAAGACGACAAGGAAACAGCAAAACCACCACACCTCATCCTGCTCCGCCAGCCCTTGACATCAAAACATCCCACACTGCTCAGCCTACAGCACTGCAAAGTGGAAAGACTTCTGCTACATGCGACACAACATCCTCATCAGGCCTTGCGTACATCTTACCACGGTGGTGTCAACTACACTGCTCGACTGAGCCACAACCAGTAGCAAACCCCGACCGTCCTCCAGTCCCCTCGCCTGGACAAACTTTGAAGCGCGTGGTCAGGTTGGCGGGCGTGGCGCCCGCGCTGTAGATGCCGAAGTTGACTGTCTAGGGTATATTGGCATAGATGGGAAGGGCGGGCGAGATAGGTATAGGCATCTTGCATGCATTTAACATTTCCAACGGCTGAATGAAACGTCAAAAGTCTGCGCTATAACGTCTCTTGACCTTGTCGTCTCCTTCAATGACTGACAGCCACCACGTGAGAAATTTTAGTCCACATCAAGCACAAACTCAACGCTTAACCACATTTTACAAAGTATATACCCATCGAATATTAAAACCAGAGAAAAAGCTCCAGCGGGCCGAACAACGCCAAGCACAATCATCAGGTACTCGCTCTACCCATGCCCTCCATTTAGCCTACCACCTTCCCCACTCATAAACCTTCTCTAAAGACGCTCCTCCGACTCTCCGTCGGACTGTTATCCGTGCTATTCACACTTCCTGGCTTCTTATGCTTGGGTGCCGTCGTGCTCGCGCCCCCATGGTAACTTGTATCTTCTCCGCCCAAAGGCCGAGGACTGACGCCCCTCAAACTCGTCGCATTGTCGTCGCCAAACGGATTCCGCGCACTCTGCGCATCGAGCTGTTCATCGTATGAGTCGCGCTGCCGACTCCGTCCACGGCTCGGTTCTTGCGACAGACCAGCGGAAGCGCCGCCATACGCCGTGGTACTCTGGTACGGATTTGAAGACTGGGCATGGGTAGAGGCCGGTTCGTGAAGGCCAAGTTCCTGCTCCTCGTAGTAGGCTTCGTCGCCGACACGAGAACTCCATGCCTCGTCTGGATCCAGTCGGCTGCCCGCACCACGACCGCGTGTCGCGCCAGCGCCATAGGCAGGCTCTTCGAAGCCGCCACCAGTCGTGTAGCGGTTATTTCGGTTCTTGAACTTGTACACCTGGGCGCTGAGCCAACCTTTGATACCAACGGGCGCAGGGCCCGGGTAGTTTGAAGCACTGGCGGCGCCAGAGGAGCTGGAAAAGGCAACGAGGGGGTTCATAGAGGGTGGGGGGAGGCCATTGCGATTGGCGTTCCAGCGGGCGTAAAAGTACCAGCCAAAGTAGGAGCCGGAGAGGAGCAGTACCAGGACGATGGCGAAGACGAGCCAGCCGTTCATGGTGGTGGTTGAGGTGGGGGTTGGAGCGTGCTTATGAGGGTCGCATAGGCCGTGGTGGCCGTGGTGAAGTTGGACGCGCGGATGACGTGGGATGGCCCAAAGTCAGCGATGTGGGATGTCCTGCAATCTGAAGTGAAGTGAGGCAATGGTGGAGCGTCAAGCGGGCGGTGTCGTCGTTGTGTCGATCCAGTGTGCGCGTCACAAGCCGCAATGTTCGAAATGCTGGGCAGAGAGAGCTGAGGAGCGCGGCTGTGCTGGACACGCTCAGTGTCGCCAAGAGTGCGAGGATGACGTAACGCCTTCCAATAGGCCTCTCGAACGAATACAAAGACAAGCAAACAAAGATCTCCAACCTTCAGACTAGACACGCCCAGATAAACAGGCGGGAGAAATCATCTTTTTGGCAGTGCGACTGAAGTAGTCATGTCTCTGTTTTTGTGTCTTGGGCAGCTGGCTGTCAGCCAACAGATGAGGTTAGCGCAATCTGCCATACGAAAGAGGCAAGGCGCGCTGGGTGGTCATGTCAACGACAACTCGGCGTCATCCTCAGACGTCCGCTTACCACAATCTAACTATAGCCAGTTGTGTCCTTGGGCTGCCGTTGCACAAGTCTGAGAAGAAGACTGGAAGGATTTCGACAATCTGACCTACGCAGCAAATTAAGCCGCTTCAGAATTACCCCCCAAGATGGCCGACTTGGAAGCAGAGAGCAGGGAAATCACAATTACATTGCCTAGTCCGGATGGACGCTGTGAAGCCACAATCCTTCTGGAGCAGAACGCTGACGCTACTCGTCCACCGCGCCTAGTCAGCGTCAGCAAGCACAATGGAACACCGCTAGGGGCAGGGGCAACTCCCCCAGAACTACGCGAGACCCATATCATACTCTCGACAGGCTCCGGCCACAAGCAAGCAGACTCCTTCTTCAAACATGTGCTATCGCCAATCCTATCCGAGCTCTATGGCCGAGATGTGCTGTCGAAATTAAAGACACACACCACACAATCCGAGACAAGCATTCTTGAACTCACCAGTGACCTGCTCTTCCCTCAAGCCAACAATGGCAAGCCCTTGCGAATCATCCTGGCATCCGGTGATGGCGGAATCGTAGATCTGGTCAATGGCCTCCTCGCACAACCAGCAGGACCATCATACGTAGCGCCAGAGGTCATTCTTCTTCCCCTCGGCACAGCCAACGCCCTCTACCACTCCATCAATAGTGGAAAAGACAACACATGGGGTCTCCAATCCCTCTCCTCTACCACCGCCAGACCCTTACCAGTCTTCACAGCATCTTTTTCCCCGGGCGCTCGTCTCCTCGTCGACGAAGCCCGCAAAGAAGAAGAACTACCCAAAACTCCCAACGGAACTCCCATCCTCCATGGAGCTGTAGTATGTAGCTGGGGCATGCACGCCTCCCTCGTAGCAGATAGCGACACAACCGCCTACCGCAAATTCGGCATTGATCGTTTTAAAATGGCTGCTACGGAGGCCTTGTACCCCGCTGACGGCTCACTTCCCCATCCCTACAAGGCCAGCGTTTCGCTGCTCAGGAACGACAAATGGACCCCTATTCCTGAAGAAGAGCATCTCTACGTTCTGGCAACCCTGGTGTCGAATCTTGAAAAGTCGTTTTGCATATCGCCTGACTCGAAGCCATTGGATGGTAGTTTACGACTCGTACATTTTGGACCAACGACTGGCGACGAAGCAATGAGGATCATGGGGTTGGCATATCAGGGTGGGAAACATGTCCAGGATGGAAATGTAAGATATGAGGATATCGATGGCCTGAGAATTGATTTTCAAGGCAGAGAGACAGAGGCAAGATGGCGTCGGATTTGCATCGATGGGAAGATTGTGAGAATAGAGGAGGACGGGTGGGTGGAGTTGAGGAAGGAGGAGAGGAGGGTGTTGGATGTTGTTGCGTCTTGATTTCACGTCAAAGATACCATAGCATGTACTTGCAATGATGCAGCCTGTTGCGAGATGGCCCATGCCAGACGCAGCTGTGCTGATTAGCACCTCACTCACCTCACTTCCCAGACCATGTGCCCCATCATCGCCTGTATCCATCCCAATCCAGTTGACTATATCTACAAAACACAACCACATGAGCAATGAAGCTTTTGATGTCCCATGTATTGTTCAGCAACATGTTTCACAAATCTTTGCTTTACCGCGTGACCTGTGGGTCTAGTATTCTCATTTACTTTGCTATTTCTACCATTTGACAGCCGACAATATCAAGATTCAAAGTGACTGTGAGATTGCGGCTTGGATTACATTATAGGCAAGGCGTGACTTCAACACCAGCACTGGAGCTCTCGGTCTGTAGAATTTGTGAATACGAGTATGTAGATCCAACAGTAGCTCATTTGCTTTTAATTTGTAACATCATGCTAGAAGTTGCCTTTGGGGCAGATAACAATGTCCAAAGTCTGGCTCAGAGTCTTCAGGAACTGCATTTCAAGGCTGTAGAGATGAAAACCACTGAGAATGCGCTCTTGACTACGTGAAATGTGCTGTGGGAGGCGTTTCATCCGCTGTAGATATGTGACCATCTGTATGAGGCCGCCATTGCCCGTCCCTATCGCCTGGAGAGAGGGTGTATCCGGAGCCTACACTACGAAGACGTACAACCCAATGACGTAATATTTGTAAATATCTATCTCCAGGCCAACGTACTCAGCCTCAATAAGGTCCTGCCCAGATGGTGAAGGTCGTTTGCACCTACGCCCCTCTCGTCTTGGCACATTTGACTGCATGTTTACTCACTCGTCCTGATCAACACCTCGCTCCGCTCTCTCCAAACCCCCAATTCGTACGCACTAGAAAAACCTGATATCTCTGAGAAGAGAAAATGCCACGAAAGACGGCAGGATCGAAGTTCAGAGGAGCGGCAAGCGGTGTCTATGGACCTTCGAACCCACCTCCGCCCCCTCCTGGTAGGCCCCCTAATGTTCCGCCACCCCCTCCCGGCGGCCCTTCATCTTCAAAGAAGGAGAAGTCTGCAAAGTACTACCCGAAAGTGCCGGACAAGACCCCCGAAGAGGTCGCCCGCATCATGGCCAATCGAAAGGCAAAGGCGGTGCGCAAGGCGTTGAGAAAAGTCGAAAGGTACCAGCAAGAAGGCTTGCCTAATGGATTGGAGCCCATGCAAGTCAGTACGTACGACTCGAAGATTGTCCATAAAGCATGGAATGGTCCGATACCAGAAGTTGTCACTTCGAAGGTTGAAGATGTTCATTTACTGCCAGCACGTGGCCGCGATGAAGTTGCTCGGATGCATGATAGGGACGAAGGATTCACACGCCCGCGCCCGAGTGGGGACGAGGGACATCCTCGAGCTGATCGGGTCGGTGACTTCAGCAGGCGTGGTGATTCCTATCGACCTACCACTTCTTCCACTTCAGAGCGAAGTTATCGTGACCGCTCGCCAGCCTCGCGAAGGGAACAGCGTCGCTATGAGCATGGGAAGAAAGCCGATACATGGAATCCGTACAACTCACGTTATCGCAGCCGCAGCCGCTCTCCAGTGCGACAGGAGTCTGGACAGAACTGCGGTAGGCTAGGCTCATCTAGCAATCACGATGATCAATACGGTATGTTTCACCACACGTGGTGTGTTTTGTACATGTAAACTCACGCTGGCAAGTCAACGATAAGAATTGGTCCAGCAATCAGCGGCCTGACCATATCAATGAGTGGAATTCGGAACAGCGTCGTGACGAAGCGCAGCAGGCACAGACAACCAATACTGATGCAACTCATGACCACGTTTACCCGCCCGAGGACGAAGTAGACTATGGTGACGATGACGCTGATGTGAGAAAAATCTCGGAGAGGCTAGCAGAGTCCGAGACCTCGAGTTGGCAATTTGCTGTCTCTCCAGTGTCGCACGAGTGGCAGAATGGTAACGAAGACCACCATGAAACCCGAAACCAGCAAGACAAGGGAGCTGCTTGGGAGAATCACCAGTCTTATGACGCCGGTATTGGGCAAGGAAACTCCAACGATTGCTACCCTGGCAACGACGCGAGGTATGATCGCAGGACTCTACCACAAGCGCAATCCCAGCATTACACTCCTGCGCCTGAATCTTTCGCTCAGACAGGTATAATCCCAACTATCGAAGCACCCAAGATGCCTCTCCCAGCTCCAGTCACGGCATTCAGTCTGTGGAGGTACGACGGGCGTCTTCTCAAGCTCATGCCGGCTCGTGGTCTGGACAAGCAATTCAGCACTTGCCATGGAAAGGTCAAGCCGCTTCTCTACTGCGGAGATCGTAACCATGACTTGGGACTCTGTTACGCAACCTTCCTTACTGATAACATGTGTGAGATGGGACAGAAGTGCTGGTGGCGTCACCACCCGTTGCGTCAAGATGAAGTGGATTGGATCACCTCCCACAACAAGACACAAGCTACGCAATTCCTCAAGGATGCCGAGAAGTTCTGGGCCTCTCCGACCATTCCTCTGCCAGGCGCAAACCTTTCCACACAGAGCAATTGACCTTTGAAGTTTTGACGGTATGTGAGCAAATTCGAGATAACAAGAAAATATGCTGATATTTGAAGTCATATATGTCGCGCTTCATCGTCCGCCTTCTGAGCTTTGGAGATCGCATAAACGGATCGCTGATTGATGGCATGTTCTTGGACATTGTGGGTTATCCACATCCTGGGACTGACCTTTTGGTCTGTATTCACCTCGAGACATTTCGTGTGCTGCACCTTCAAGCTCTCATCCGAAACGGCATTTTTTTTTCTTGCTCGGATCGTTGCGATTTGCATCGGGAGGCTGGACACTGACTTTGACTTTTCGTCTGGATATGGGTAGTCTTTGATTTTGATCAGAGAGTTACTTTTCGAAGTTGAGCGAAAAGTTCAGAGCATTGCTCCGCGTATATGCAACCAGCCACGCACGTCGTCAATGCTGTATGGAGCGGAGACGGTCAGCTTTGTATCCTACAGAGCGCAAGCAAAGTACATACCCTTGCAGAGATGTTAGCTACATCTTGGAAAATACATCCAGGTCGTCTGGCTTTGCGTCTCGCAAAAGAATGCAAAAGTCCAAATCCTTGACCAAAAAGTGATTCTTGTTATTCCAGGCCATTGCAAAGTCGAATGCACTAGTCGCCGCCCAGAGATGTGCTGATAAAGTTACTCTGTTGCCGTTGGCCATTCTGTAATCGCAGGAACTGAGCTGGCCGTTCAACAGGTGATACATGGTGACGATTTGATATATCGACAACAGTGTTCTGCGTAGCGACTCTTGGAAAATATAGGTCCGCCACGCCGCACGAGCTGCAGTACTGGGATAAAATTGCAGTGGCCCTTTGATGTCCTCCTGCTCAGCAGCAAGGAGCCGAACAGCGTCAGCAACTATTTCAATATGGGGGTGCAAATCTGTAGCCTGTTGATAAGATCCCATGTCCCCACCGAAGACAAGCATGACTTGATACAGCATGAGCGCTTGAGCGCGTGCCAGCAAATCGACAGGTGCACTTGGTATGGGAGTAGCCATCAGCTCGCCAAGTCTACTCCTGATGTGCTGGAAAACGATGGTGGAATTCCTGCCATTCCTGGTAATGTACAAGGCGCATGACGCATGTACATCTTGCATAGATCTGGGCATATAATCGTCATAAAGCTGAACATGCGACCAATGTGTGCAGTTCTGTTCGACCATCATCTTGGGGGCTAGTTTCCATTGCTCGAAGCAGTACTCGACCCTGGACTTTGCAAAGGGCGATAAAGTCTCCGGAGAGAAAGAAGAACTTCTTTCCTTTGCAATATGAGCTACGCTCATGAATCCTTGGTAATGAGATGGGTCAGTGAGTATGTTTGGAAGTGTATCCAAAGAGCCACTGCCACCTAATATATCGAAATCCAGGGAATCTGGAAACGAAGGTACCGCTGATGGAGTGGCCAGGTCAAGGTTGAATGACATGTCCATGGACACTGTGTCTCCCATAACCATGGGAGCTTTTGCATTTTCGGGAATACCGTCTTGCTCTTGAAGAACATCTTCCCATATTGCATCCCCTGATCGAGGCTGTGATGGGTAAGCGCACGTCAAGTGTTGCCTATTGCATCGAGCACAGACAGGCTTCTCGAGGCCGCATCGTCGTTTTGATTTTACACACTCAGAACAGGATTTCCGTCTTCCCTGAAATTTGTCGTTCGAGATCGCACTGGAGGCATGAGGTGCTGACAGGTTTCTGGACCGGAGGGAGGGTGAGGCATCTACGGGTGACAGAGACAAGCTTTCCAAGCCTGGCAAGCGTCGTTCTTTGTCAGCATTCCAAAATGGACTCCTCTTTCCCTAAAACATATGTATGACTACGGAACACCCACTTAAAACTGAATCTGCGATCAAAGAGTTCTCCCTTAGTTTGTACATGATTTTCTTTTCATAAAACCTGTGGGCAAGAGCAAAAAAATCGCTCGATGCGAGTGACGGGACAAGCAAGCAAACACTATGTAATTGACTTGCTTAACACTACGGTACAAAACCGGTTTACAGTAGCCATATTTATCTAAAGTAGACCACAAAGTAGTTTAAGTACGAGAAGTAAACCTAAATAGGGTTTACTATACTATATATTCTATAAAGGTAAACTACTTTTTAGTTTATATATTATTAGTATTATATATATTAACTTTAGCGTCTATTTAAATATAGTTTATATAATATACCTAATTACAGGTTATATAGTAGATAGATATATAGCACCTAGGGGGAAAATTTAGTGTAGATAGAGGGCACGTAGTAGGCATGATTTAGTAGGGTTACTATACGGGAACTAGTACTAGTAGATACCTAGGTAGTATAGGCGTGCAGCATACCGCCGCCTAGGTACGCTGCAACAATAACTAAGAGACTAGGTAGTATACCTAGTATATAAAATTATAATCTAAAATATCCTATAATAATAGGTTAGTAAGTTCTATAAAGGCGCCTATTATAATAACACTCCTATATTATAGTGTATTCTATAAAGGCGCCTATTGCGACAACACTCCTATATTATAGTATAGTAGTATTGCTAAAGATTATACTCTATATTATAAATATTCTAGGGCAAGTTAGTTGCTTATACTATATATATCACAGGTTTTTTTAGTAGTATATTAGTTTAAAGTTAGGTATATATATATATTATTATATATACTATATTATATATAGTAGTAAAGGGGTAGTATAATATAGTAAGCTTATATAGTATAGGATATATAGTAATATTATATAATAGTATTTATATATACTAATACTATATATATATATTATTTAACTTATATAGTTAGGACCCTCTTATATTATAATTGTCTATAAACCTAGATACTATTATTACTATTACTATTATTTAGCTCTCCTATACTACTACTATCTATATAAGGGGTATCTATAATAGATACTCTAGTTTATATTAGAGACTACTATGATTTTAGGCCTTACACTCTAGAAGTATTTCTCTTATTACTATTGCCTTTAGCCTTAGCTTTAGTTATATAGTTACGCCTAGCCTTTACATTCCTAACGCGTGTATTCTTATAAGTCTATATTAGTAGAGTAGAATCTAAAGTCTCTATTAGAGAGTCTATAATAGTATAAGGTTAGTGTTATTACGTGTCTAGTAGTGTATTATAGTTATCTTCTATAGGCGTGTTTTTATAAGTATCTAGAGTAGAATTATTTAGTTAGGCTAGTATACTATATAAATAGGTTTGCTTTTATAGTCTTATATCTAGCTATACTAGTACTTATTATAATCTAACACCGCTAGCTAGGGGCACACTAACTATTAGGTTAGGATACTAACCCCTAAAAACGCTACTATTGCTATCCTAGGCACCCTAGTCTTTAAAGCTAGTAATACTACTAGTATATTTAGATTAGGGTAGACGTTATCTTTATATATATTTAATAGGATAGGGTAATACTAGCTTACTTATAGCCTATAATAAGTCTTAGTTTAAATATTAAGGAGCGTTGCTATAGAATCCTAACTAGGCTGCTATATAGTTATAGTATATACCTAAACTGCTATAAATAAAGTTAGATATTAGCTACTAGTATCTATATAGACCTCTGTATATAATAGACCTCCCTAGGCTAGGGCCTTATAGGATAGCGAACGTTTAAGTAATTAGGGTAGTAATACTATTGCCTAGTATAGTATAATTATGTATAATAGCTCCTTTATAATAGTAAGATTAGTATATTTAAAGAGGTAGATAATATACTTATATTTTAGTTTAGAGTATTAATTCTTATTCCTATATATCTAGGTCTACTATATAAGCTATTTTAATACCTATACTCTATTAAAATATCTAAAAAATAGATACTTAGTAAGGATAGTGTCCTATATATTAGTCTACTTAGAGTTAGAAATATAGCTAAATAGTTAGTCTTAGATTATATTAAAGTATATATCTATAGCCTTGCAGATACACTTGTTAAGGTTATTAATGCCCTTCTTACTAACTATAAACGTGTAGATCTATAGGGCAAACACTTTAGGCGTATATATTACTACCTACACTATAATTAGATTATTGCTTGCTAATTTTAGCTATAGGTAGATACTATATAGTTCTAGTATTTTATATAAATAGGATCTTAAATCCTATATTAACTACAGGATAGTGTTAGGAATAAAGGCAGTGTTTATAGTAGATAAGGTTATAAGTAAAGCTAATATATTATAAATATATTATTATAGATAGAAAGGGTATATTATTATATATAACTTGTGCACTTATTATATTATAACACGCACTAGTGTTATTACTATTACTTATAATATATTATCTTTAGCTATATCTTTATACTAATATACTTCTATAATATAGTTATTAAATAATAAGTTGTTATACTATAGTTATGCTATATTAGTGTAATAGAAGTGTAGAGAGGGTGTGCTAACGTGTTGCATTACGTACGTGTGCAAGGGGTTAAGAATTAATTTAGAGTACACTAGATTATTGTTATATAGATTTATATATATTACTATAATTATATTATTATTACTTGTTATAACTAACACTAACAAGTTATATTAGCTTATATAGATTTATACTATATCCTTTTATTTACCTACTTCTCTATATACTAGAGTATAATAGTTATATTAATAGAGTAAGATATAAATATCTAGGAATACACTCTTACTAACCTATATTAGCTACACATAGTTTACGTTTACTAAAACGCAGTTATTATATAACCTAGATTAGTATATAAGTTATACTAGACTAGGAATTAATATAGATTAATATAGCAACTATAACACTATTTAAGAGGATAATATTACAAGTTACTAAATTTAGGGGTAATAACCTGTCTACTATGCTATAGTATTCTAAAAGTAGGGTAATCTATCCTTTAGATACCCTATTAACTATACGTTACACGTTAATATATTTTCCTAGGCTAGGTATAGAACTAATATATATTAGCTTAGGATAGAAAATAGGGGCTATTATATATATTAGTTAACTACTATAAGATATAGTAGTCCCTACTATAGAAAGCCTAGTTATAGAAGAAAAGGCTCTTTATCTTTAATAGTATACTATTAAAGTTAAGATTATCTTTATAGAAGCTTTTATTTAATTTAGTATTAATAAACTTATAATAGATATATTATATATAAGTATAATATAATAGGACATGTTAAATAAGTATATTATATAATTAAAGAATTACTCCTTCCTATATAGATAAATCTAGTAGTAACTAGATAACCTATATAAGGAGAAATAGATTACCCTCCTATATAGTATCTTATAGAGAACTACGCATCTATTATAATATAGCAAGTTTATATCTTAGATAGTATATCTTATAGTATAAAGCCCTTTAATAGTAGATAGTAATAAGCTAACTATACTATTAATAGGCTATCTTACCTAGACTACACTAGTTAGACTAGCTTTCTTTTATATAGAATAGTAGCAATATAGTCTTATAGTAGCCTAGAAACCTTTCTTAGAATATCCTTAGTCTATAAGGCTAACTAAGGCACAAGGAGGAGAAACTAATACTAAGTAAGGATTTAAGTAGAGTAGATTATCTAGGAGTAGCCTAAGCTAGTCCTACCTCTATTAGAAAGAGGTTAAAAGAGTCTCTATAACGCTTAAAAAGGCTACTATAAATAGTGTCTAACGCCCCTAATTTACTAGCCTATACTTATCTATAGTAAGAAACCCCTTTAATTATATCTCTATTATAAAGTCTTAAGAGATAGCTAGGTAAAGAGAACCTTTACTACTAGTAAGTAAATATTACTAAATACTCTAAAGGAAAGAAAGACTGCAAGTAATTAAGAATATAAGGTTGTCCCCTAATACTATATAGAGATTAAGTTTAGGTAGTCTAGGCCCTACTACGCCTATAATAGTCTAATCCGCACTAAGTAATACTAAAGATAGGTAGATAACCTATAGTTAGCAGACCTAAATAATTAGTCCTGTAGTCTAGGACTACTACTAAAGAGAGGCCACTCTACTTTAACTCTAACTAACTCTGCCTGCTAGTTATAAGTGCAACTAGTGCACTAGTATAATTAACTATTCTTTAATATACCTACCTATATACTTATAATTATAAACTACTACGCCCTTAATAAACTAAAAGACTATATACTACTACTACTAACACTACCTATTAGCCTTATTAAGGATAGGTATAACTCCTTAGCTCCTATAGGGGCATAACACTAGCGCTAGTTATACTATTATTTAGAAGCCTAAAGGTTGCAATCCTTAGCCTTACTATAGTAGTAACTACTAACTACTAGTCCTAATTCTAGCTAAGATTACTAATTTAAAATCTATTAAATAACTAGTTAAGTAAAGTGTTAAGTTTAGCTTAGGTCTAACTATCCTCTATAGAGACTATAGATCCTTAGGAAGTATAGGTGTGTACTAACCTACTACTTATCTATTACATAAACTACAGGCTCTAGGAGCTTATTAGATAGTACTAAGTATAACTACTGCTAACTATAATAACTCTTATTATAGCGTTTATTAACTTAGAGGTGCTACCTATCTTAATAATATTAATAGAATAATAATATAGAGAAGGTACTACCTTGTTACCTTAAGTATAAGCACTTAATAGGGACGTCTCCCTAAGTAATATAAAGATAGAGAGACGCGTGTATTACTATAACTACTTATTAGGTAGACCTAAGCTAGTTTTAATAACTAGTACTACGCCTAGTATAGTGTCCTTACACTACTATAACCTAGCTAGTATCTAGTATATCTTAATCCCTTTAATACTAACTAACTTAATAAAATAATATTAAGGGAATACTATAGGGATAAGAATAGCTAGTACAAAACTATAGATATATTATTAGATAGGTAACTATCTATCTACTAAAG